CTGGTTCTTTGATAGCCATGTACAGTGGCTCTTCTTTAATTCTTTATCAAATGCATTGATCACTGTGGGCCTTGCAAGCCCATTGATCCGTGCACTCTGTCTGGAACCAGCCGATAAGCTCCCCCCCCTCTCTCTCTCTCTTCGTCTCTCTCTCACTCTTTTGACCACAATTTGAGCAATAAGGAGTACTGACAGTGATGGATTTCTATATTTGGAATGTGCTATTTAAAAAAAAAATGCCTATACTGCCGTTAAATTAACAGAAATATGCTTTGGTATAACTGCAAGCATCTGCAGTGTCTTTAAATTAAAATACCACATTTTCCAAAAAATCCCATTGCTTCCCACCACAAGATAAAATTTTACGGTTTGTTCCTCTAACTCTCTTAACAATAGTCCAATCTCCAAACCTGACCCTGGCCGACTCATAGCAGAATAAAGACTAGCAGTGGCAGTGTTCATTTTACAGTCATTGTAACTGCAATAAAAGTAAATAATGAAATAGTCAAATTAACCTTCACTAACTACATTTTTAAATTAGAAATGTAAATGGAAGGTCTAATGAGAAAGAAACATAAAGACTGTCTAGATTACTACTTCGACTTCCACGTGCACCTCTGCAACTCAACAATCTCATAATCTGTGCAACACAGTATATTGGAAATGGGTCTGGCTGCAACAGCTTCAAGTCAGCCATATTAAATCCTTTGGCAAAAGACGTTGTCAGTCCAGTTTGCCTGTTTAATAGATAACTGAGATTCCCTATAAATGAAGTGATGATTCGTCTCTTTGTCAACTGTTCTCATGACCAGGAATTTAGTTTAATTTTTGTAACTGAATTATTTCACACTTTTTTGGTGGACATATGTTGATTCAGTTTTAGGAAAAGCCACACTATTTATATTATTGTCTTACAGTATTGTGAATATTAAGTAAAGTTCAATAACGAAATGAGAAAAGTGTGTGTTTTTCTGTTATATAGTTTTGAATCAATGTGTGTGATCACACAGCAACATAAGTGCGTGTGTTTTCTTTGTTTTGTGTGTGTGTGTGTGTGTGTGCGTGTGTGTGTGCGTGCGTGTGTGTGTGTGTGTGTGTGCGTGTGTGTGTGCGTGCGTGTGTGTGTGTGTGTGTGTGCGTGTGTGTGTGCGTGCGTGCGTGTGCCTGGACCAGATAGAGACCTAAAGCACCTCTTGACTGTGAATTAGCCTGTCATGACAAATGTCTGGAGCTGCATGACTGGCTGCCAGACTGGCTGGCTATCTGGGAGGTTGGCAAACCCTTTCAGATAGTGATTGTGTGTTCATCCCTGTGTGTGTGTGTGTGTGTGTGGCATTGCTCGATGCCCACGCCAGGTCTCTGTACATGACCACTGGTGCGTGCCCTCCCTCTCTCTTTCTCCTTGCCCAGAAAAGAGCAACCAAGGCGACAACCTTCTCTCCCTGCTCAAAAACAGCTTCCAGAGCAGAGAGGGGTCCTCACCCCGACGCCAAGCCCACAGAGGAGCCCCCTGTCTCAGCTTCGCACTCAACCGTTTATCCTTGCTTCCCCTGGAGGTTCCAATCAGTCAATGGAAGACACAGTACACAATTGTCCTAGCTGTCTTCATTGAAATCTTCTCCTCCTGAGTCTCTTTTCTTGAAGCTGTGCTTCCCACTGACCATCAGCTGACATGCTTCACACCTCCTTTTTTCCACTTCTTTTTTCCCCTGGCTTTGATCATGTAACGACGCGGCTGGCTGCGTTTGCCTGCTCTGCTGTTTTCAGGTGGTTTTTGGTTGGTTGTTTCCCGTATTACAGAATAAAAAGCCTACGTGTGTTTATTGTCCCTGTTACGTGTGATGTCCATTTACACTTTCCCAGTTGGAAACGCGACTGTGATCATTGCTTAGTTTTAACATAATGTCCACTAGGTGGCATTTCATCACCACATGGACAACAAGCCAATGCCTGGAAAAAAGTTCTTGAATAACTTGTTCCTAAAAAAACAGTAAGTTGTATTTGCGATGTAAGTGTTGATAACAGTGGGGTGAATGTTCCGTCTCAGTGGGACCTAAATGTTGTGTAGAAATAATGCTCTCTCACCATCTTCTTGTAAAATGTGTTCATATTCATTTTCTCTGTGGGCGCTGTCCAATTCCTCGTTATTATTACTATTTTTTCGCATAGCAGTTATTGCTTTTCTAAATCATGAACAAGTTTTAGTTATGCCTTTACGCCAGTGGCAGGAGACATTATGTTTTTGGGTTGTCTGTTCCTCCGTACGCATGTAAGTTCCATTGTTGTGAACGCGATATATCAAGTTTTTTGTGAATGTGAAATCTCAAAAACTTTTCAAGGGTAGTATTTCACATTTGGCATTAACTGAGTAGATTTTGGGGTCAAGGGTCACGGTATCCTAATATGAATCTGGAAAAAAGAAACTGCACTGGTTGGCAGAGGTGTTTTGATAATGAAAACCTAAACATCATCTGTTCAATTCTTAAACTAAAATATGGTTATTTAGCAAAGGAAACATATTCCAACAGTTTCAAAATCACACATGCACTCAAGTTTAGTTGTTTACTTTCTTTACAGGAAGATTTGATCATAGATCATTTTAAACTCTGTCTTTTATACAATAAAAAGCCTTTCCTCTCTTCTTCTCCCCTCAACTCTTCTTCTCTCCTCCTCCCCCCACGTTCTCCTGTTTTCTAATCAGTGGCTTTGTAGCGGACTGAGCTAGGCGCTAGTCAGATAGGCTATAGTGTTAATCCTAGCCTCTGGATAGGCAAAGTCAGTTTCCTATTTCCTGTCCCAAAAATGGCTGACAACAATAATGCAGTGGGTTGTGTTGGGAGGGTGTTGAGAATATGTATGTATACAAAGGCACACTTAAACTGGTAGTTGTATCCATATCTGTGAAGGCCAGATTGGATATCAGAACCAGTCCATAGCCAGAAGGCCATCAGTGACATTACTCTTTATCATATTAAATTTATGAACAAGAGGACAATCCTGCAAAGAAATTGCAATACGACATTTGGAAGTGAGGATCCATTGAAAGAAAGAAAAATTGGAACAAAACAAAACGGGAGCCTTAAACAGAGAAAGAAATTATGTCATGAAAGTTTGCTGCAAACCAGCGATTATACTATGCCACATCTTTTAAGTTTCTTTTCAAATGTATTTCAGGCAGTCCAGCCAAGCGTGTGTTTTTGTTCTGAACCGCTTCCTGACCTCTGGCTCATTTCTCTCAACTTTAAAACTGGTGACAGTTGACACTCTGCTGACAAAAATCCCCCCCCCCTCCCCCAAAATATAATGTTTGGGGTCAATCTTGTGTTCCAATTTATTTTCCATTTATTTGCTCTGCTCAACAGATGATAGTTTTCCTAAACTGCAGTGGACTAAACTCTTAAGGTCACTGTAATAAGTTTGTTTTGCCCGATCTGTTAGACACCTGATGATGTCTCTGTTGATGTCCTGCTGAAAATCAAGTTGTGGTCTCTTGTAATGAAATGTTGATTCTAACAATTGACAAAAATTGCGGAGATTTTGTCATTATAGAATGTCTTTGAGGTTTTTTACCTGTACTTTTACTTTTGTACTGTAAAGCACTTTAGTAATGAATTTTTTACAAACTCCCTTTTTCATTCAACTGAGCCATCATAATTCCTTGTTTCCCTGAAGAAATGTGACTGGGAGCTGGAAAAGATGTGTTGTTATGCTTGAAACTCTGCTTTTCTACAAGCTGGCTCTCACTCATCTCCTCACTCTGTCACTCTCTCTGTCTTTACCAGTTTCTCTCTAAGGTGAGTTCCGCTCCCCTGTGGGCATCCCCTTGGGCTCTCTCACTCACACACACACACACACACACACACATAAATTGCATTAGGGTTGCTGTCATTTACAAAACAGCCCCATTGTCCCACCCTAACAATGGCTACAAGCAAACAATTGACATGGAAATGGAGAGATGTAGCTCATTAGCGGGCGCTGCTTGTTTTGTTAATGGATAAATGGGCGGCTTCAGTAGGCCAGCCCTAAAACCCCTTTCTCAATATGGAGAAGGCTGATTAACAGAAAACCACAGGGAGGGAGAGCAGTGATAGAGAAATGCAGCTTCACTCTCCCTTGGGGTGGGATGTGGTTGTGTATATTTGGGAATGGAGGGGGGTGCAAGGTGGAGTTTTCAGTGTGTAAGTGTTGTTAGTGCTTAGATTGTGTTGTGTAAGACGAGTTTGTGTTAGTTTATGTCCCTCGTAACTTCGGTTGTCATGCAGGCAATATTCGGAACTGTTTTTCATGGTAGCCTTAAAACCAGAATTGACCGCTGCAGCACATTACTCTTCATCTGCCTTAGAAATATCACAACTCCACAGCCTGAATAGTTATAAAGTTTTCTCCCTCATTACTTTGAACTATCTGCTTTATAGAGCAGCTTTGAATGAATTGTGTTTCTCTCTGTATCTTCTTTGGTGTCCCTTATTTTCTGGAAGTCACATTGTGACAGTCTTGTAAAAAAACTTAATTTTAAGTTACCTGTCTTGAAATGTGTGTATCTTGTGTATCTGGTGGCCCAAGTGTGTATGTTTGTGTGTGTGCGCTTGGTGGGGTATTTATCAGTTAAGTGTTTGTCAATTGACATCATCAAGGTTTTCCCGTTGCTCTGCGAGTGTATGTGTGGTGGACTGTGTTATCAGCAGAATCAGATTGGATTGCCCTGAAAATGGCATTTCTGCCATTACTCTGATGGTGACGGCTCAATACTGAATGTCTAGTGCCAATATGGTGTGTGTGTGTGTGTGTGTGTGTGTGTGTCTGTGTGTCTGTGTGTGTGGTTTGTGTACATCCATTTTGATAACAAAACTTTTTGTATTTGTAGTAAACGGTGTGTGCTCACACTCCCCCTCCCTCTGAATCTTATAACATTTCCTTGCACCTGTACAGGGGTGAGTGAAATTCTTTTGTTTCTTTTGTTCATGTTTTTGTGCATATTTGTGTGTCTGTTTGTGCAGGAGCGGGATGCAGAGCGGCGAAGACAGCTGAGAGAGCGAGCCAGGCAACTGATCGCTGAGGCTCGATCCGGAGTCAAGATGTCCGACATGAGCTCGCTGGACCCATCCAGCACCGACAGAGGGAAGGGAAGCAAGGGTAACACAGCTGGAGGTCAGTACACTCACACACTGTCTCACACACACAGGTCCTTTTCAGGCCATCTCGGTTGATCTGATCACAAGTGGTTACCTCTCAGTACATGTCTGGAAGCACACAAGACACATTGAGGATGAATTTGAGATCCGATCGATCACATTTGGAGGTGGGTCCTGGTCCAGATTTGAACCCTCCACTCAGCTGATGTCCTCTGACCCACTAATGTTTCACAATTAACCACTTTTCTTTCTTACTGTGATTGCTTCACCCAAGATGGATGTTAATACCAGGTTTGAACAGGGCCACATTCAAAGTTAATAACTTCAAACACAAACATTAAAACATGGAAACAGCGTCTGTGTTTACCCTTTATTTTTCCTCAGTAACATACTTTCAGAATTGTGAAAGGCCTCGCAATTAGCAGACACACACGCCAACACTTAATACTCATTAAATATGATACAAAAGAAAAGTCACACCAGCATGCTGTTAACACACTCACTTTCTTCACGCACACATGCTACAACTCACACATTTCCATTATGCTCTCTAAAGGGGTTCTTCCTAATCCTCAGAGAAAAACAAAATGTCATTTGACAACAGCTGTGGGTCTAAAAAGCACCACCCTCATATTCAGAACAGCAGTTTACCCTGTGACTTCCCCCTTGTCTTGTTCACACAGTAATTGTTAATCAACACAACACATTGTGCGGCCAAATTATGTTCAAAACACCAAACACTTCTAATAACGGCTTGCAGGGGTAGCAAATGCTGCCGTGCGCATTTCCCACTGCTTTCCATTTCCTTGAAATTGGGGTTATTATAATAATGGCTATTATTAGGCTTCTCTTGTCATTTGATTCAGATTCCTCAACACTACACCCCTCTTTGTTTTGCACTGTTCAGGTTGATCGGGTGTTTTCTAGAAGGTGAGAGTGTAGACAGGTGAGGACAAAGAGTGTGAAAGGTAGAAAAGGCAGTGAAGAGTGTAAAAGTGAGCAAGGAGGAGAGAAGAAGCACCATTAAATTGTAAAAGTAGGGACGATGGAGGACTCCTGGCAGGAGGTGGGTTCCATACCAGAATTAGAAAAGATGGAGAACAAAACAAACAATGAGGCGTGGCCTCTTGTTCAGTGAGTCGCATGTAAGTTATATATTTTTACGGAAAGAAAAAATGTCTGTTACATTTGAGCAAAAGTTGACCTCTTACGAGTGGAACTCCTTCAGGCGCATACCTCCGCCAAGGGCCCTTTCACGTAAAGGAAAGTGATAAAACATTCCTGGATCCAGCCCTTTGTTCAGATATGGGTTAAAATGTCTTACTGTATAGCTGAATAAGATCAGCCCCCTTTGTAACCACATTTGAATGCGGTAGATCTACAATTTTATTTTTCTCTGCACCAAATTGCACACACTCATAGATATCAGTCCTTCTAAATATTTTTTACATCAAGATCTATGATTTTAAGGTGACCTTTACAACCAGAATGAGTGAGTTATTCCCAGAAAATCAGTGAAAAGGTCAAAAAATAATGATAACAAAAATCCCTGGATTCCCTTTGTCCTCATTTGCAGCAAACATGATGTTTTATGGCCCAACCTTGACTCAGGTATTGCTCAACAAAAAGTCCAAAACTCAAACAAAGCCTAAAATAACAGAAATGAGATCAGCAACTTGTTAGGTGAAATGACAGAAGAAAGACAGCGAGGCATACAGAGGGAAGCACTTGATTTAGTTGCTCTTTCAGCTTTTCTGAATTGGACTAATTGTTGGTCTCATTAAAAATGGAGTTGGAGGAAAGAACGGAACAAGGGAGGAGGAGGTAAAGAGAAGAGAGAAATGCTGTGGGCTGTGATACACAAGGCCTCCCGAGCAGAACGGCTAATCCTAGCCCCCACACTCCCTCTCTCTCTCTCTTTCCCTCTCTACCTCTCTCCCCTCAACACCATTCACGGTCCTTTAATGCAGCTCAGGCTGCCCCCTCCAAGTGTCTGCCCGCAAAGAAACTTTCCAAACTCCATCACCATGGCCTCCCATTAATTAGGCCCGAGCCAGCCACGCAGGAACGGCGCTTGCTAGCACGCTCCACATCGCAGCTAGCAAATTAGGAAAAAAAAACTAACAGGAAACACTGTTAGTATGATTCTCTCGCCTTCCTTCTTTGTTCTCAGTCCCGCTCCCCACCAAGTCATAAATAGCAGAGAAGGGAGCTTGAATGTCAGATGCTGTTTACTGATTGTTTTGTTTTAATCCGTGGTGGGTTATCCATGCAGCGAGAGCCGCTCAGGTCTCCATTTGGGTTTATTCTAACCTGGTTTTTTTTGTTTGTTTCCAATGTAAAGACGCTGATCTATTCAGCCCCTCAGGAAACTTAATGGAACATGTTCTTTCATGAGCTCCTTTATACAAAGATCCAACCATATTGCTTGTTTGCAATAATTGTCGGTGTTTTGGAATCAGAGGCAGGCCTTGTGACACAATAGAACGGAAGTCTAGTCCCAGAGTTCCAACTAACTGTTGTTCACAGACATAGATGCGATAGTATATAAGGCACCCGTATAATCTTTACACCATTTAGACAGACATGGTGTAGTAAAGGGACAACATTCCTGCCTTAAATAGGCTTTTTTTAAATTTTGTTTGCCTCACCTCTTTTTCTTGAAAATGGAAAGATGTGCCTTTAATAAGGTAAAACAACAATACTAGATTGGTTAGTGGTATTGTTTTTCTAAAGGTCACCATGAGTGCGGTAAATGCAATATAAATGCAGAAATATACCTGCAGTGTAACAGTTATCTGATGAACGGGGGAGATGTAGACAGAGGGAAAGTTATGGTGGATTTTGAGACATATGAGAAAAGATTTTATGGAATCAGGTCACTTAACATGTATTCAGATTTCTGTTAACACAAACTAACCAAGCTTTTCTTTCCTCTGTTCTCTTCATTTTTACCTTTTATTACTCCAACATTTCAATTTTTTACTTCTCCTCACTTCACCTGTCTCCCCTCCTTTCTAACACCTTCACTAATCCTCTTTTTTTAATTTCTTGCCTCCCTGACTCACTCCCTTCCATGTTTCCTTCCCTTTGTCTTTCACTCCTTCCCACTCCGTACCCACAGATGTTTTGGACGGAGTAAGAGGTCATCATGACGATGATGGTGAAAGGGGTGAGGATGAGGAAGATGGGAGGGCTAAGGAGGAGAAGCCCCATGTTGGTGGTGATGATGATGATGGTGGTGATGATGACGCTGTTGCTGCTTCCACATCTGCGTTTGCACTGGTTACTAACCCACTGCCATTGGAGGCCCCACTACCAACCACTTCCAGCTTCCATGGGGCCCTGGAGCTTACTAACCCTGGCTCTGAACTAACCTCTCTGGGTAAAATCGGTGGCTGAAGCTGTGTGGTGCTGTGATGTTTGACTGTCATATGTTTGTCTCCTTCTAATTAACTAAAATCAACTGTTAACTACATCTCTGACGTCTCAATTTCTGTCCGTCCATACTAAAACACAGCAAGTTTTTAAACTAGAACAGTCATCATCTCATTCCAGATTTCTCAGTTTTAGACGCTCAAAGACTTGTGTGGTCAGAGCTGTAAAACTAATAAATAGTTAGTCATATCGTCTGAACTGCCCTGAACATGCTTTTAGTTTGATCTAAGCTTCACTCACACACTTACTCACTTTGCTACTCTCTTGCACTCTCTTCTGTCATCCACGTTGTCCATCTTTCAGTGCATTTTCCTCTCCTCGCTTCCCCCTCAGACCTCCGCAACCTATTGGCTCTGTGGCCATCAGTTCTTCACACTGGAGGAACAAGTGCAGTCTACGTTAGTTTACTGTTGTATTTTCCCCAATTTTCTTATTTTACAAAGTTCCTTAAGTCGTAATTAATAAACTCTGAAAAGTGCTCCCCAGACAAAAATAAAATCATATCTTCAGGAAAGCATTTGCTGAAATCTTCAGAGGTAAACTAATTACTTTGTTTTCTATTTAATTTATTTTATTTGCTCCCTCAGTTTCCTGCCGATGTGAGATAGGTGTGAGTACAGTGAGGGACCAGAAGAAAAAAAACACATGAAAACAGACAAATGGTTCCTCCAGCTTTGAAGTACAATATCTCTCCAGTATTTGTTTGTGGTTTTCTCTCTCGTCGTGTTCCTGTGTTTGTTCTTTGTTGCTGCTAATTTTTTATTTAGTCTTGAAAGAAATGGATGGTGGTGATTGTATCATGAAAGTAGCCGATACCGCACTCGATTCTACAAACATGTTCATTTTTTTTCCCCCAGCAACCCAGGTCATTTACTCCACCTCCTTTACTGTGTGTTTGGTTCCTGAGCATATGAGTCTGTATGTTTGTCTTTATGTCCAAGCTGTGTCTCAGTTTGGCAGGTGTAGCATTCATCTGTGTGTGTGTGTGTGTGTGTGTGTG